GAGTATTCCGCAGTCGGTAGCGCCCGACTGCAACGTTCTTACTTGTTTTTAATTAATTTAAGGTTTCTATATTTTTGTAAAATGTAATATTTGTTTTCATTTATATATAATTTAATATAATTTAACTTTTTTAATCTTTTAGCTTAAGTTATTTATTTTTTTAATTTATTTCCAGCTTTGATTTAACAAAAATTGATTTAATTTTATCAAATTAATTTTTATTTTAAAATGTATATTTTTTATATACCTTAATTTTTTTTTTAAATTGTATTTACTTCTGTTAATTTTTTTTATATGTCTATCCCATCTCGTCAGTATTATCCCCCCTCTCATTGTACTAAAAACCGTATATCTATCCCAAACATCTCAACACATGGCAGAACGTGACTTTATGTGAGTGTGAGGCTACAAAGGGGAGTCAATTTATAAGCATTTGTTATATTGCTTTGTCTTTTCAAGGTGTGTCCTGCCCCCAGTCTCATATAAGGCATAAAGCGCACACTTACTGTGCCACGCCCACCAGCCCGCTGCACTGCCATAATAATCACGAGTATGACAAAGTTATACTCGTAGTTCTCATAATACTTGGCATAAATCTCGTTGCGGTAATAGAATTTTACAATGCGTAGTAAATAAGCAAGAGATCTGTGTGCTCGGGGTGTGTGCCGACTATGCGTGTGTGTGTGTGGTAGTATGAGTTTTGGGTGTTAACCTGGTCAAGCTGTTGAGCTAACCCCGCTGAGGTAGCTCTGGATAATTGGTGGGGCGTGCTGAAGATTTATGGCGATATGTACAGTAATAAAAGTTTGAAGCTTAAATATAGGGTAAACCGAAAAGTATTTTGCAACTTCCCATATACATAAATGACATCACCGACAACTGCAGACAACTTCTTTCCAGTGTTGTAAAATTTTAGTGGAAAAAAGTTTGATCTACCTGTGCATTGTAGACTTAAGTACATGTTTAATTTATATCTAAATGATGTATTAAAAATAAAGTTTTTTTCTGGCATCTATGACTAAGTTGAAAGCAAATGAAACATTTCCAAAAATATCTCGAAATTGTAAATTGATCTTCAGTGCATAACCTTTGACATCTTTCATAAATGTTTGAGTTAACTAAAATTGACTTACCTTAAATATAAATTGTCCCATATCCGAGGCACGTTCATTGGCCGAGCCCGAGGCACGTTTAAAGCAATGCAAATAATCACGGGTGAGCACAAAATATCTGCAATGAAACAAAACAAAAAACATCAAAATAAATAAATGTGACTCATAAAAAATCCATTTGCTAACCCAAAATTAAAGGCCAGGTCTTATATTAAAGGTCAATTGCCCGAAGAGCCACTCAATAATGATGATTGTAAAATAATTATGATACAACAAATTTTTTAACAATTCAAAAATTGGCAACAGCTTGCCAATTGGCAGTGCAACAATTGGCAACAGATTAGATATACAATAGGCCACACGCAGGGCTCCGTTAAAAAATTGTTATTAATAAATAATAAATCATGCGTCAAACAAAAAAAAGAAAAAGAAATACCAGAAGTGAAAAGCCAAAAAGTCACTTGAGTAACTTGGCTACAAAAGCTGCTTTAGATTTTATGGTTTCCATAAGACGATGATAATAATATTTTATCGTCTCGGTCGCAGCAATGAAAAATGTTTTATTAATATGCTATTGGCAATTCTTTTTTTTTTCTCTCTCTCTTTGCTTCCTTTGAGAAATCATAAATTTTATTTTGCCCAAACTTAATAATGCATGGCAAGAGATATTTGCTTAGCGACTGCTTCAACTTTAGCCATCGATTTATTTATGGCGAAAAACTTTGCAGTCAGTCGAACGCAATGAAAATTCTGTTTCGACGAGTTCTTAAAAGGTGCTTTCAAATAATTCACCAAGAAGAGTTTCCTTCGCTTGGCCAACAAAAGAAGCGCCAAATTGATTATTTGCCAGTTGCTAGACTTTGTGTCCACAAAAGGGAAAACAGGTATATTGGATTTGTGTAATGGCCAAAGTGCTGTCATTCCTTGTGGGTGAAAACTATTTTGTGACTATTAAATTTAGAATAAATATTCGATTAATCAAGTTTTAAGTAAAAGGTGAAAACTATTTTGTCGCTATTAAATTTAGAATAAATATTTGATCTATAAAGTTTCAAGAAAAAGCATTTTCTGGCATGCCAGAAATCCAGTTACATCATCACAACTCTTTGGGTGCCTGGTATATCGAAAAATACCCTGTAATTTTTACATTTTTAGACATGAATCCAATCCTACATTTCCCCCCTTTGCAATGACTTCCGGGTATACAAGTAAGATGGGAACCAAAGTATCACGCAGTCGGTTGAGCTCGACTACAATGTTCTTACTTGTTTGAGCTTGAAGTTCTACAACGAATTGCAGCTCATAGCTCGCAGCTGCTTATTAACGTGGTCAAGCAAATTGAGCCAGGGCGTTTTGTAAACGAGCGATGCTGCTGCTTTCGCACCGAGTCTGGTTAATTGCTTAGCCATTGCGGTGGGTTTGGCTAATAATGTACCGCTGCAGTGATTAGTTAAGCTGGCTAAATGCTCGAAGCATGAAGCGAGCATTGAGAGGAACGAGAGCCATGCAGATTGCAAGAACTTAATGAGTGGAAACGTTCAAATAAGAAAAAAAAAAAATAATAATAGCAAAAACAAAAAGTAAAACCAAACTGCAAAACGAGCAAAGAAACGTATGAATAAACAAAACGCGCATAAATAAAGAAAAGTTAATGAAGCAACCGCTGGGAAATGAAATAGAAAACAAATTTAAATAATAATTAAGGGTTATAGTTAAGTTTTGATCTTTGGGCATAAATTGTATAATTTGGCTTTATTTTTGCTTTTTCGTTTTTTTGTTTTTTGTTCGCAAAGCATTTAATATGCCAATCAATGTTTTTAAACATCCATATAAACCAAATGAGAATCAGATACACATATGCGAAAATAATGACCATATACTATGTATAGAAAAGATGATGGATGATGAGTTCGGACAGCGATAAAAGTAAATATCAGCTAGATTATATAATGATGGAGTGGAAAGCGATAACAATTTATGAATAAGAGAATTCGCTGGGTTAAGAAAAGAAAATGCGAAAAAAAGAACAAATAAAAATTTCTCCAATAAATAGCAAAAAAAATATAATAAAATAAATAAAACTAATGGTAATTAAAATATTGAAAATTTAAAACATTAAAATAATAATAATAATAAAAATAAATAAAAACAATACAACAAAACATAAAAAAAATATTTTTTAATTCGAAAGACTATTGAATTACAAAAATGTCGTTTAAATTTAAAACAAAATTTTAAATATATATTGTATTAAAATATTGTTAAAATTTAAAACATTTTTGAAATATGTACGATACTTAAAGTGTTCAACAAAATAAACAGTTAAACCAAAAACTTATTAAATTATTTATATTCAAAGCAAAAAAAATGCAATTTTCATCTCAATCGATTATTTGGATTATACAAAACGTAAACATAAATTTATATGCTAAAATATTACATTTCAATAATTATAGCTCTCAATTGAAACTTGTCACTTCCCCAGCATAATGAAGCAAATAACTAATTGGCATCACTTGTAATGGCATTTCCATGCAATTGATGGAGTTCAAATATGCACAACTGATAGCAGTGCTTAGTGGCCATTAACTGTCAATTAAAAATGTGCCGATAAGCGTAATTACCAGCTGAACTGAGAGCTCCGCCCGAGGGTCAGGGGGTGTGAGCCAGAGAGTAACATAATTAAATTTCAATTAAATGCACAACAAACACAAACAAAAACACCGTCCTGAATGCCCTCTGTCAATCCAAGTGCAACCCAATGCCACCCACCCAGCCTCCCACGCGCAAAACACATTTACATTCGCATTTGCATTTGCATATCGCCCTCTCTCATTTCAATTCACATTTTGCATTATCTGCATTTCGAATATGAAAGTAAACTTCAGCCACACAGTCAGTCAATTGTGCGCTTTTTGCAATTAACAACCCCTGGGTAAATAAATTTGCAACAAATTCTACCTGGTCAATTCGAGAGGGTTGCTTACACTTAACAGCTT